ACAACAGTTAGGATCACAGTCAGATCTCATCATGCCTTTAACTGAAAGTGCTCCTCTTGTCAACACACAAGACAATATTTGTGTAGTACTGTGCAGCCTTTCCGATTCACAATGAGCAAAATACTACATTTACTCAAATACAAGGTAAGGTTCCCCCGACTTGCAAAGAAAAAAGCATACTGGCGGTGGAAGCAGGGGGCAGGGACAAAGGAGGAGTACACCTCCCTGACCCAAGCTTGTAGGGATTTGGTGAGGAAGGCTAAAGCAGCACTGAAGCTTAGATTAGCTTCTGGGATTAAGGATATCAAGAAGTCCTTCTTCAAGTATATAGGTAGCAAGAAGTAGTCTCGGGGTAACAGTGGACCCCTACAGGGCAGGGCAGGGCAGTTGGTGATGGATGCACGAAAGAAAGCAGAACTCTTCAAAAAGTTCTTTGCCTCCGTGTTCCTGTCTGCAGACAACGGGGTGCTCTCAGCTGATAGCATAGAGCGGCCCAGGAAGGATGAACATCCCGACTGTTAGTTCAGACCTAGTTAAGGATTACCTGGAGGGCTTAGATGTGTCCAAGTTGGCGGGCCCAGATGACCTTCATCCGCAGGTGCTGAGGGAACTGGCTGGTGTCATTGCGGAGCCATTAGCACGGCTGTTCGAGGACTCCTGGTGCTCGGGCCAAGTCCCTAAGGACTGGAAAAGGGCCAATGTGGTCCCTATTTTCAAGAAGGGGAGGAAGGAAGAGCCTGGCAACTACAGGTCAGTCAGCCTCACTTCTATCCTGGGGAAGGTCTTTGAAAAAATTATCAAGGGCCACATTTGTGAGAGCCCTGCAGGGGAAGTGATGTTGAGGGGTAACCAACATGGGTTCGTGCCAGGCCGATCCTGCCTGACTAACCTGGTCTCTTTCTATGACCAGGTAACAAAGAGCTTAGATGGGAAGGAGGAAGTCGATGTCATCTTCTTGGACTTCCAGAAGGCCTTCGACACAGTGTCCCACCCAATTCTGGTGGGCAAGCTGAGGGACTGCGGCACTGACAAATGCACGGTCACATGGGTGGCAAACTGGCTCCAGGGGTGAACCCAGAGGGTGGTGGTGGACAGGTCGATGTCGACCTGGGAGGGTGTGGGCAGCGGAGTCCCCCAGGGCTCGGTCCTTGGGCCGGTGCTGTTCAACATCTTCATTAGCGACCTGGACGAGGGTGTGGAGAGCACCCTGTTCAAGTTCGCTGATGACACCAAGCTGTGGGGTAAAGTGAATACACTGGCAGGCAGGGACCGCATCCAGGCAGACCTGGATAGGTTAGAGAAGTGGGCGGATCTGAACAGGATGCGGTTCAACAAGGACAAGTGCAGGGTGCTGCACCTGGGGAGAGGGAACCAGCATTATGGTTATAGGTTAGGGGCTGACCCTCTCAGCAGCACAGAGGCAGAGAGGGATCTTGGAGTCAGGATTGACTCCAGGATGAATATGAGTCGCCAATGCGACAAAGCAATAGGCAGAGCCAACCGCACCCTGTCATGCATCAACAGGGGCATCACTAACAGGTCCAGAGAGGTCTTGCTCCCCCTCTATGCGGTGCTGGTCAGGCCGCAGCTGGAGTACTGTGTCCAGTTCTGGGCACCGCACTTCAAGAGGGACGTGGAGAACCTGGAGAGGGTCCAGAGGAGGCCACTCGTATGGTTGGGGGCCTCCGTGGCCAGCCCTATGAGGAGAGGCTGAGGGACCTGAATCTCTTCAGTCTCCACAAGAGGAGACTGAGGGGGGATCTTGTGGCTGCTTACAACCTTATCAGGGGCCACCAGCAGGGACTCGAGGAAAGTCTGTTCACCAGGGCCCCCCTTGGAGTCACTACGAACAATGGCCACAAGCCGAGGGAAGATAGGTTTAGGTTAGATATTAGGAAGAACTACTTCACTGTAAGGGTGGCCAGAGCCTGCAATAGGCTTCCCAGGGAGGTGGTGCTCTCACCTTCCCTGGAAATCTTCTTCAAGAGGAGACTGGATAGGCACCTGGCTGGGGTCTTATGACCCCTCCCACCCCCAGTGCTCATTCCTGCCCATAGCAGGGGGTCGGACTCGATGATCTGTCTAGGTCCCTTCCCACTCATTGATTCTATGATTCTGCCCCCAATCAGCATGGGGGAAGGAGAGGTAGCCCCGTGTCTTACACTGGCATACAAGGAAACCCAATTAAATACACTGTCTATCATTAAACTACTGCCAAAAGCAGCACGTGCTCCGCAACTGAAATCAACTATGAAATGGATTAAATGCAGTCAACACTGAGTATGATTATATGGTCCATACTGGGGAAACATGCTGATTCAAAAAAAAAAATAAAGTTTAGTTTCCAGAGACAAATCAGTTCCAAATTAAGTTCTAAATTCAAGTCTGTGTGGCACTACCACCAGCAAGTATTCTACCTCCCAGACTCATCAACATCTGAGGCTTCAGATACTTCCAAATCCATGGCAGGCATCCTATGTGCAAGCCCCAAGCCCAGAGGCCTTGGAGTTCAGATGCCCCCTAATCTTGCTTGCCCCTTGCCAAAAGGCCAAAGCAACAAGCTAGGGGGAAAGCCAGAAAGCAATCCCCCATTGCCATAAATTGTGTAGCCAAGATCCTCATGTTTGGAGGCATTTGTAGATTCTCACAAGAGTCAGTCTGCCCACAGTGCAAGGAACAGGCACTGTGTCACCCTCTAGCTACACTTGAGTCATTCAAGACAACTGTGGTAGGTTCCCATCATCATGGGGTTTTTTTGGTGGTTTTTTTTTTTTTTTTAAGGGCGGGGGTTGGAAATATTGTGTCTCAGCCCAAATCAATTCCAAATTCTATCAATTCCAAATTCTGCCAAAAGGCCAAAGGAACAAAGTTGGGAAAAAGCTTGAGAGCAATTCTGAATTGCCATAAATTACATAACTAAGATCCTGCATTTGGAGGCACTGTAAACATCCTGCCCACCGTTTTTTGGATTTTTTTTTAAAGAAATGTTTTGCGTTCCAAGCCAAATCAAGTCCAAATCCATGAGTCAGTCCAGAACCAGAAGTGGACCTACAACCAGCAAACATCTTCCACCCCTACCAGGGGCTTCAAATATTTCTGAAGTCTTTTGGCAGGCATCCTGTGTGCAGGCCCAAGACCAGAGGCTTGGGGTTCAGACGCCCCCAAGTTTCACCTGCCCTCAGCCATAGGGCCATAGAAGCAAGCTAGGGAGAAATCTCCCATTTACATAAGCCCCAACACCTTGGCAGGTACTAAAGCACGCCAGAAGAACAATTATCCTGGGAACGCTTAACGAAAACTGCCTTCATGGACCCAGATACAGTGCTTCCCCTGCCCACAGTACAAGAATAGATTAGCAAAGCCCACCTGAATAAGATATATGGCAGTGCACATTGAGTGCAGCCTCTCTCAGCATCAACTCTTTTTGAAGTCATGGTGAGCCACTACACTGCATACATTTTTACTTCCTCTTTACTCCCACAGCTAAGCTGCACTTATTGCCCCCATTTCCAATGATTCCTGTTTCTTCACCAGCCTTAAATGCCTGGCAAACATCACAAAACAGGGCCCCAAACAGTTCACCCAGAATCCCTCCATCAGTTCCTCTTCTCAGCCTGTTGCATATAATTAGTGTGGCTCCACCCTCCATGAGGTGGAACCAGACCAGGTTGCCTTGTGCCTCCATCTGCATATAATTTTTTAGAAGATCCCAGGACTCATGATAAGAACAAGAACAATGGAAGGGGCTACCTGACCTCCAGATTTATTTTCCTTACTGTGGCAATGGGAAAGAGACAAATTCAAGGTAAACCTCCAATAATTAGATTCTGGAAAATTATTTTTTTTTTTTACATTCTAAGTTTTCCATATATAGAATCTAATTTATGGAGGGGTGGTCATCTTATAATCAAGGTTGTATTATATTCAAGTACATGAGGTAATTGCGAATCCTCCCCTTTTTGTTTTTCCTAATGCTTTTGTTCTCCTTTCTCATAATTTATTTCTATTTATGTAGCTATTTTATAAAAGCTAAGTAAGACAATGTTTAATGGATGCCATTAACTTCTATAGCTAAGCAGACAGGCAACATATCTTTAGAATTAAAGTTAACAATAGTAATTAAGTACAAGGATGCACAGTGGTAGATATGGAAGAGTGACTTGGCAAAAAAAGCAGCACATTGTTATTCCAATGGGTGCATTCAATCACATCAGCAAAAACAATCATTTACACATGAAAAGCTCACCCCAAGGTGAGCCTGAGTTGGCAGTTAAGGGAAAAAAGTTGTTTTATTTGTAAAACTAAGCACATCTAATATATAACCACCATAAAAAAAATTAGCATAAATTCCTAGTAATTTTTACAGCATTACTTTTAGTGCAATACAACCACATGTGTGGCAAAGATGAGTCCACTGGAAAATAGATCCAGAATCACCAATCCAAACTGAGAGTTGGATTGCCAACACATCACCAATCCAAACCATCAGCTGTGCTGACAAAACCAAAACGTTTTTGCACAGCAAACTGCATTAACGGTAAAAAAAATAACACTCTTCAGCAGTTATACAACACTTTTTAGCCTCTAATCTTAAAAACTGCTTTTAAAAATGGGTAGGTATTTTCCCCCATTCCTGGAATATGAGAACCAGAAGACTGAATGGCTAAGGTGAGCTAGCAGCAAAGTCAGAAACAGACCTCAAGTCTCAACTTTACATTCCTTGTTCTGTTCACCAGAAAACACTGTCCTTGCTTTGATTCCTTGCACTAAATTGCTGTGCAGAAATATAATTTTAATTTGCTAATCAAACTAGCTTAAGCAAGATAATTATTGGGCATTCTAAATAAACTGTAATATTCACTATGTCCTCACTTATTTTCCCCTGCCTCTTCATTAATTTGAAATGAAATGCATTTGCTAGTTAGACATGTTCAATCTTAAGCAAAAATTACTCAGCTGCAGTTACCACATATTAATATTAATTTTTTTTTGTCCTTTACCTGTTTTGATAGAAAATTATGGAGCATGTTCTACTTCATGGCTCTTTCTGCATCTGAAGGAGCATGTATTTCCACTGGCTTGTCACCATCTGCATCACTCTAAAAGAAAATGGAAATCATTTAAACCAAAACACCCATAGTAACCAGTTCTGTTCTAGCAAACTGCTTCTCAAAAATCTAAAGCAATGAATTCTTGGAAAATAAATCTGACTTGGTAATAGGCACACACACATGAATGATTGTCAAAGAATTTCTAGGTTTTAGTCTTCCTGTTATTAGTTCAACGTTTAGCTTTGAAAGAACAGTAGTTCAAAAAGATTCTTTGATTGACCCCTTTTTGCCTACATTCACAACTGAGCCATAGGATTTCCTACAAATTATAACTGCCATTTTACATTCCCAGACTTGTGTGTTTATGTATACAATAGACCCCTTTTATATGCTACACTTTGAAGAGTTCTCATATCTTCTCTGTAGTAAAAATACAGGAACTGAAAGATAAAATAAAAGTTTATTAGAGTATCTTGTCCCTTCTCCTGTCAAAACAAAAATGTTCCCTGCAGCATACATGAATGTAGTTTCAAATAAGTTTTGACACAAGTACTTCCATTAAAATAAAACCAGTCAAGCACTTGCTACTCCAAGTTTCCAAGTGTTAAGCTTTTCATTTATTTTTATTAAAATATTCCTACTTAAATCTATCTGAACGTCTTTCCCACATGATGCATTGCTACATTTGCTTGGAAGTGCATTTAAGCTGCTTACATTCCCTATAATGTATTCTTTCTGCAGTTGCAAAATTCTCTGGAATGTCTACTATTTAACAAGGGACTGCAATTGTCACAAAAGATTACTTCATTAACATACCCCAAATAAATGCAGCAGCCCAAAACACTCCCTGGGAATCCCCCTGCAGGAGGATTCCTGGGACACACAGGATTGGGACCCTGAAGCACCAACCAGTGGGATGTCCCTCTGCAAGCAGACTTCTGTAAGTGGGAGAAATCAAAAAGGCACTTTGGGGATTTAAGGAACCCAATCCTGCATACCCTGGAGAGTCCAAGGTTGCATAGGACTGGGCCCCTGAAGCCCCAAGAGCACCTGCTCAGGGATGCTAAAGAGTGGGCAGCTCTGGGTTGCCCAAGCTCTCTGGCAATAAAGCAAACAGGCTGCAAAGAAAGCAGCACAAATATATACTGCCCATTGTCATGGCTACAATTTAGGGACATTTCTAGCTTGACAACAGGCTTGGATGTCTGTTTGCCCAGCCTTTGTACCACCATAACAATTGTTATGGTGGCACAAAGGCAATGTCTGTTTTCAGCAACAGAGATCATGCAGAAATTAATTACCACAACAGATGTGAAATGGATTTCAGCAGAAATAAATTTCAGTACTGAAGCAGTGTGCATTTTAGCATCTTTTAGACTTAGTTTGAAAAGTACTGCCTCCCTCCGATCAAAATGGATGGCTTTCTGTATTGCTGTTATAGGTGCAATTTTATTTAAATATGTAAAATAAGATCCACCAATCCAGAACACTACTACATATTGTTTTTGGAATTTGGAAATTATCAGATTCCTCAGTGTACAATACACTTCAAAATTTGTCAATGGAGAGCTTCAGTTTTTCATATGATTTCTATGAGGCTATTTTCAACCACTGCTCAGCCCTGAATAAATTAACTAAAGTGTTGTTCACATAATGTCTTGACATAGTTTGGCCTCCTTTACTTTTTTACTTTTGAAAAGCAAAATGTGCGGATAATCTGAATGAAATTATTGGAACCAATATTGGGAATAAGAATAGATATGCTAACCAACAGGACTCAAGGCACTTTTGTATGAAATGCCCTGGCATGAGTGCCAAGCGTGGCACACAAAGCCATTTTGCTTGGCACGCTGTGGCCAACCCCGTCTCTGGGTAGTTGCTACCAGCAACGGAGCCTGAGCTGGTCCCAGAAGGGCTTGTAGCATCCCAGCTGCCTGCTGGAAGCAGCCCGGGATCCCAGCTGGCTGCAGCCAGGAGGCTCCAAACAGCTGTGCCGGGCTCCAGCATCAGCTCTGCACTGGTGTGTGCACGCATGCGTCACAGTGGGCGGGGCCTGAGGCAGCGCAGCCCTGGTCTCTCCCCTGCCCCCAGCACAGAGGTGATGTGCAAACAGCTGTTCCAGGCTCTCTGCCCGCTGCTTGCTGCAGCTGCCCAGAGCCCAGGCTGGCTACAAAGCTCTGCCCAGCTGCTGGCTCTGGGGAGCTGCTGCCAGCCGGGATCCCGGGCTGCTCCCAGCAGGCAGGTGGGATACTTCAAGCCCTGCTGGGAGAAGCCCAGGCTCCAGCAGCTACCCAGAACCCAGGCTGTGGGGTAGGGGCACAACCAGGGCATCCTGCCATGTACCCCTTGCCCTCATTTTGTTTTTTTCTCCCATGCTGGCACTCCAGCACCTTCCGAGGTAGGCACTGCGGTGTTTTTCGGCACTCCAGCCAAAAAATGTTGCCCACCCCTACTCTACACAATGAGCTGGGGCACTGATTCAAGGCAGAGTTCCTCTTGCCAAATCAAGCCTACCACACGATGAAGTATTTGAATGGTTGTAGGTGGTTTCATCCAAATACTATGGCTAGTAACATACTGTACCCTTAAATATCAACCACAGTTCATGAGTGACAAATCTTACAGACTCTAAAACATATATATCTATAAAAACAATAAAGTGCTTTTGAATCCTTTAGGATGAAGAAGCACCATTTCACTTCAAGGTAATATTGAACCAAAACTGAGTTCACAGACCACACTTGCTTAAAACCTTCAATATATGAGTAGACAGTTAAAAATAAGTCTCAAGCCAGTTTATGCACCAGATGCCAAGGTCAAGAGAAGGGAAACTTTAAATCATTATTTAAAAAAATAAATAAATAAAAATAAAAATAAAAATCACAGTTTAAAAAGCAAAACACTTGATACTGGAATGGTTCTATACAGAAAGAAGCAGCAGCAATATAGCCAACTGTCAGGATTACACAAAGTTTCCAAAAGTGGGCTTTTTCCAAATGTTTACCTCAGTTTGCTGACTTTGTTTGAACCAAAGTCACAAAACCTACGACTTCTTTTTTCTTTTCTAAAATGGTCTCACAAATGGCCAACCCTTTTTCCACTCCAGCATCTCTGTTGAGAAAACCTAATCAGAGCATGGAAATATTCTGATCTTTTGTTTTAGTGGAAAATTCTGAGGCACAGATTCTGTGTCAGTTCTGGTCATCAGACCCGACATCTTTCAGAAGAAAAAGAATTAAAATTGGAAAAACAGGAAAAGTATTAAAGATTAATAATTTACTTTGTTTTGCTTTTTGCTGTTTACAGTATCTCCTGCTGAAGTAAGAAAACAAGATGATGTTACCTAACTTGCCCTTTTCCATTTGATCAACACCAAAAGTGCTGCCCATGTTGGAGGTATTTTTATTAGAGTTTGAAAATGACATAGAAATTGGAGGAGAAAGACAGAGAGAATTGGAAAGAGATTACACAATTTCATCATTTCTGAAACAGCATTATCACAACTTTTCTGAACAAGAGCAAAACAAGCAGTTTTCAGGAGTGCCAAAGTCCCATTCAAAAGTGACGCAGACATTTAAGAACTTAAGCCCCAATGAATTTCAAGACGACCTGTATTCCTCAGTGCTTACATCACTTCAGAAATATTAGACTTGTGTAGTTTTGAAAATGTTACCCTATACTTTATGCTGTATATAAAAAACTATCCATTTTGTTATGGATTTTTTTCTTCCTCACCCCTCCAAGGTACATACAAACTTTGCCTGAGGATCATGTACAAAAGCCACAGTGAGTTTTGCAGGTTAACCCCTTCCTGCATTGCCTTACCTGACTAATATTAGGAGGGTAGCTAGGTAGTAAGTCAACATTTGTGACAACATTTCTATCAGTTACCCCTTAATCACTCGTACTAGATGTCCAGATTTTGTTAGTCTCTTAAAAGTGGCTGTTCAAGACAAGTTTCACAAGCACTTAAAAATATAGAAAATAGTTTTAATACATTGTAAACTGATTAAAAAAAGATGAAATGCTCAACACCTAAAGTTTACTTTGATAGTGTACAAAATGTGTTGTTGACTATAAAGACCTAACCAGTAGAGAGGATAACAACATCTCCATATCCACCAGCCTTAGGAGTGCCAGTCATTAATTTGTTTTTGATGGCATTCCCAATGAGCCTGGCTCTGGAAACTGTTTGAGCATAAGGAACAGACACTTGCAACAAATCAAACTGATTTTTCAACTTGAAAACATTCTGTTGCTGGCAAATGCTTGCTGGAGTATCCAAACACTCAAATATTTAAAATAAAATACCGTTCATATACAGTATCAGTAAATACAGATGGTTTCTATCAAAGCTCAGATTGAAACCAGAAATGAATAAATTACATGGATCTGTCTTTTATTTATTTGCTTAAACAACTGGAAGGATGACAGCCACAAAGATAAGTGCACAGCAAATCTGTAGTGCTAACTGGCATAGAATGGGAAACAGTACAAATACAAGAAAAACAACAGGGTCTGAAAAGATGAATCCCTTTAAGGAGATTGTGAAATAGTATGTTAAGGTGCTTTTAGTACTGACCTATAACTTTTTGTGTTTATTTTAACTGATTCAAAAAGAGTGACAGACTGTCTGACTCAGTGTCTGGTGGAAACTGAGGTGTGGCTGAGAGCACAATAAGTCCACATATAACCAAAGGGAAACTGGTTGGGTAGGAAGACAAGACTGAGATTATACTAGAGTTTTTAATTGAAGGAATACATTTGCCATGTTATGCAAGTTTTTAACTGTCTGGCTGAACCAACAGCTGGGTACAAGAATGAGTGGGTACAAGAATCCATGCTTTTGTCACTTCAGAATGAAACTCTGGAATAAAAAGAACATGGCATCTACATTACAACTTCTCAGTAGCAATGTTAAAGTGAATGGAACAATTGTGCAGCAAATGAACTATTGTTACCTAGGAATCAGCACAGAAGATTGGATAATGAAATCCAATAATAAAGAACAAATGCATCTGGGGAAAAAGCAATCACCAGAACGGGAC